ACAATTCTGTTGTTGGTGCCATTAGTGGTGTAGAAATGCACACTTCAGAGAAAAATAAATAAATAACTTAAACCCAACCTTTATCTCAAGATCCTCAATATCTCGTTCCAGTCCTCCAGCAGTGCAGAGAAGAGTTACAAACAAGCCGAAGTCTCGCACCGAATTGATCCTTCCAATAACCAGGTCTCCACGCTCCACGTCTCTGTAGAAGAGCTCCCGTCTCTCCTCAACACACACCTCCATGAACTGCTCCAGCGGAGGCATGACGGCGTGTGCATCTGAAACAACATACATGCATTATCAGAGGGAGAGTTCATCGTTTAATCGCACGCATGTCATTCACTTTCATGAGACGGGATGCTCTTGGAGCGACGTGATTGCATGATGCTGTTGCTAGAACTGAATGAGGTTCACCTCCAGGTTCGTCCGGCCGTTCATCTGCTGGTGTAGAGGTCTTCCGCGACGCTGCAAACAGAAGATCAGCTTTCCTTGCTATGAACTGCTCCAGGACAGGACTCGCCTCTTCTGTATCCCTGTTTCAAAACAATGACATGACGCTCATTTATTGGCAATACATTATCAAAATGTTACACGAATAATATTCTCACGTGACAAAATGGTCTATGGAAGAACTGTTACCGCTCCGGGATAAAAAAAAATACATAAACTGATATAAACTGAGAATTGCAAGAACTCTAAGCACTTCTGAGAAGAAACGGTACGGAAAAGAACAGCGCGAACATTCTGTTAAATATCTCCACAGAAGAAAGCCTCTGTCGCCACATGCAGGTGAGTAATTAATGCAACACAAATATGATATAAGGGATACAAATAATCACGTGCAGCTATTATCAAATGGTCGCTTACCTTTGATTGAGAGTTTTGGAGAGATCAGCAGCAGCCACATATTTGAAGTCTGGGTTCTCCCTTTGCTCGCATGTTAACAGCGCCAGCAGGTTTCCCCCATGATACGACACAGACTGTCTGAGCAAGTCTCTCTCCATCACCACATAGCGACACTCAGCGCGCGCAGGTATAGTACTGTATTAGCAGCGACTGGAACGAAAAGAAGACTTGTACTACCTGATCGACTAAGTGACCAGCTGAGCTTGCGGATATTTGCTGAGACTCGAGAAGTTATGAAAGTGTGCGGGTTTGAGCAGAAATAAGCGCAGCTGTAAACGTGCTCGTGCCAAACGCGAGACGTGGAAACCGGAAGCGAACCGGAAGAACGACTCCACTTTAACCATTTTGGGGCATCTTTAAAAATATATACTTGTTCAATTCGTCGACAATGCATTAACGCAGCTATTTAAAATGCTGTTGGTTTTTGCTTGAACGGAAGCATTCGCCAAACAAGAAAAGCACGAGAGGCGGTAGTTAACGTGACACGTTTAGTCGTTCAACTAAAAAACAACATCAGGTCCGGTGGTTTTCAAAATAAAAGTCCTCCTACAAAAGCACAAATACATCAACAACATAGTTCACGCTTGCACGCACACACACACACTTTACTGAGCTATCTAAATGACATTACATAGACATTGATTTTATATATAGATAGTTACACTTTTTAATCTAAACCCACCCCTACCCCTCACAGAAAACTTTCTGCATTTTTACAATTTAAAAAAAACTTTGTTTACTTTATTTTTATACCCGTTCTACAAATGAGGACATCCCCAAATGGAGGTTTTTGGCGATTTTTGTCAGGTTTTGCTCACTTTTGGATACAAATTTGTCCCCAAAATATGGTTCAGTAGGTACACACACATACATATATTATATATGTGTGTGTGTGTGTGTGTGTGTGTTTACTGTATGTATATACACA